GGCTGTCAATCAAAGAAAAAGCAACAGGGACAGCAATAGCGGCAAGTACAGCAAGTAGAAGTACAGCAGCAAGCAGAATCCACTTCTTGTTGCAGATCGGATCCAGGTAGCTCAGCGCATCATCCTTATCCGCAACGTAAAATTTCAGCATTGTTAATTCCCTCTGTCTTTAGCGCAATTATCTCAGTTCATTGCTTCTTCAGTTTTTGCTAAAAAGGCGAGAGAGCAATCCGACATCCAACATTTCACAAGTTTTTTTTCTCGAGTACAGGAATTCACTAACTGGAATTATGGAAATATCAATCCATTGGACGGATGTCTTACTGTGCTTAGATTAATGATAGGTGGCCTGATGGTTCCAGTAGTCCTTTGTAATGCTCTCAGGAAGTTAGATGAGAGAGGGGACGAAGAAGGCGAGTTAAACAGGACGCATGAGATGAAGTGGACATGGCCAGCTCATTTGGGATGCGCTGATCACAAAATTACTTCTTAAATGCATGCCATAATCAACCAGTTTTGTTTGCCGCTGCATAGTCGAAATATGAAATGGCAGGATGTCACATTGGTGTTAAATGCAAACTTTTTCGACATCGAGACTTATGATTTTAAAGACCGAAACATTTCTGTTTAGCTGTTTAATTTCAGTTTTATACTATTTTTCCAATTTTATTAAAACTTCTCTTCAAAACATTCAAAAGTAATAGATTAGTTTTTTGACGTGAATTCCAAAAAACGTGAAATACTAGTGCTGGTAACAAATATCATGGAAAGAGATTGCGAAATTTTGAAGGATTTTGCAAGCGGTTTTTTTTAAAAAGTACCCCGAAATGAGCTTTTATTGGCCCAGAGTGCCAGTAAGCCAGTAGTGACAATAACAGTTAAACTCGTGAAAAATTAAAATTATCCCAATTTTTCAGGGAAGAATTTTTTTTTACAGAGTGTTTTTTGCACAGTCATCATAACTTATAACGCTAATATCCAAAACTATCCGCTCTACTGACAGCTCACTGAACAATCCCGTTTAAATCTGTTTGAATACCAATATAATTGTCATCATCAACAGCACCACTCAATCCAGTTCCACTCACTTTTTGTGAAGTATAGAAGTTTTTATGTGGAGGAGCGAAGAGGAGGGATTGGAGGGACAGAAGAAGTGAGAAAACGGAGTCAACTTTCGCGAGATGATGATTGTGCACGGATGCGAGTATATTTTTTGTACTATCCAAATTAACTAGCCCCGGCGCTGTGAAATGTTTACAAAGGACGGTGCGTATTTTTCTAAACGGTTTTTTTTTTTTTCGGAATCTACGCTTAGAATTACTCACTATATGATGGTAGAGTATGCTGGGCTGCGAAAATTCAGAAAAAAAAAGTTTATTAGGTTTTGAGATTTATATACATCAAAGATTTTAGCTGGTTTGTCGACCAAAACATTGCGACCCTACGAAATAGGAAATAAAAAATTCGGTGTAGGACGATGAAATTAATATCAGTGCGCGGGCGGATATTAATTTGAATTTTCTTCTGCAACACAATAGTCTTCGAAGTACCGGCGAATACGGAAACCAGAAAAAATAAACTATCAGCAAGTGGAAGTATTCACTTTTCCCCAGAGATACGAAGGAATTCTGTAATTTACCTCGAAATCAGCTGTGCATTCGACTCAGTGAAAACAAAAACAAAACGATGAGGGTGCGCGTGTTGCATGCCGCGTACGCGGCTGGCATTGCTCAGATGGAAATTGACGGAATCGGAATATTCATTGATAAGAGGTGATATTTCTTGTAGTTGAGTAAACAATCCTCCGGTTTTGTTTCCTGATTATTGAACATCGATGTCTTACAGAAGCAATTTTCTATAACTATCCATGTCCCTCAAACATTTGATAAGTCCATTTCATTCAATATTCGGAACTGACAATTCACTTCAACAAATGCACCGCCAAGGGAGAAAGTCATACCCAAAGAAGAAATATCAGAGGGATTTTTTCCCCCACAGCAATTAAGCTACTTCAGAAAGCCTGGCCTCATCAGAATGTATGGACTTTCTTTTAGGCGTTTTTGCATAAATGAAAATGCAACTCGGCAACCAAGCAGGCGCGTACGAACCCCCGAAATAAATATGCATATTTCTTTGGTGAAAGACGGTCACGTGAACCAGGTAAGGTAAAAAGCTGAAAATTTGCAGAGATATGCTCTGTGCACGTACGAGATATGAATTTCAAAGTCAGCGGTCGTGGACGCTTGTGCAGCGCTCCGGCGCTAAAATCATGCCAGTGAAGTTCCCCGGCTAAATACCACCCCAGGGCTGCAGTAACAGTCTTCACGTACGTCTGCGCCCCACATGCGAGCAGTGAAAGTTTCGGCAGGATAATAGCTAACTTAGGAACCAGGGAAGCTGGGAGGCTGAAACTTAAACAGGCTGTTCCCAGCCTACGTACAACTTAAAAGCATCAAATTCACCTCCCAGGAGCGCGTGACTTTCACGTATAGCTCTATGAGAATTTTTGGTGGAAGGATAACTAAATCGAGAACCAAGAAAGCTGGGAGGTTGAAATTCTGAGGAAGTGCTCCTAGCCCACGTACAACTTAAAGATATCAAGTTCAGTCCACAAGTGCGCGTGGTTCTAACGCACGGACCCATAAAGCTTTTGGCGGGAAAATTGTCAACTCAAAGACCAGGAAAGTTAGTGATTTGAAGCTGTACAAGTACCACGTAGTTGTATGTAAAATTAATTTCCCGAACTTTGATGACCAGTGTGTCACAAATTCTAGCTGCTGGGTTTTCGAACAGTCTTACCGGAGCACGAAATACTGCAAATATATACCGTCGCACGTGTCCGCCTGGTGTACGTCGCCAATGATTATGCGTTTTCGCATATTTATGCACATGCAAAAATGCATGTTGGCCAACATGTATATTGCCGGTGTGTGTGTGTGTGTGTGTATGTGTGTGTGTGTGTGTGTGTGTGTGTGTGTATTATGCGGTTTTTTGTCATCCGCATTGAACTCAGCAATTAGAGAAACTGGAAAACTAAAACTTTTGGAACATGTTTTTACCCTGTGC